TTATTACATAATTTTGATACCGTAGAATGTGGAGAATAGAAACAAACATTTATAAAATTATATTCAGTCTAATAGTATGTCAGAAAATGGTATACGGTCAATGTTTACTTTACCATAATCAAGGTAGGTTATCTACGACATATATAACCTGCAATTTAATTCATTTCTTTTACAGATTTATAGATAAGCAAGATGATTGCTAACTTAGCAATCACCTTATTAATAGCATTGCTAACCATAATTTATGAAGTGAATATAAAATTAATAGATGTACTGTAATAGTAACATTATAAATATATTAAATAAAATCGTATAAAATTCATTGTAGCTACTCCAAGTTAAACTGTTATACGTGTCTGTCCTTCATTTTATTTTTAACTTTCCAATTCACGAATTCAATAATTAAAAGTGTGATAACAATCTTTTAATTTAATTTTATGTTTAAGAACTTCATTTTTCTGATTTTTAAGGTAGAATGAATAAATTTAATTTTCTTATAAATTTATAATAATATAATATTTAATAAGATTTATAAAAATTTACGTTAGGAGTATTATAATTTATTATAAAAATAAAAATTTAATATCAAACCACAGCTGTAAAATTGTGTAATGAAAGTTATGACATTTTTTTGTCGATTAATTAAATTCATATTTTAAATTTAATTGTCTTCATTTCAACGAATTTATCCTCAATATCTCTATCCCAAGATAACAAACGATTATCAACAATTTAATGTTTTTATCCTTATATAAATAACATCAACTAGCCAGACCTGTTAAAATTAAAAACAAAATGACAGTGCCCTTTAGCAGACGGTTCAAAAATAATAAACTACATGGTTAAAAGAGAGAAAATTGTGATAATAGTGAAGTACTTATTTTTCTAATTCGTGAACAACAATATGTACTATTAGTTTGCAGGCTGTAAAAAATAGGATGAAACACATTTTATGAACACTTTCATAAATCGTCAAGTTAAAACTAAAAGTTACCAAAGTTTTTTATTAATAACTTTATCTAGTATAAAAATAACTAGAAATAATAAAATTTACTGACATAATTTAAATAAATTATAATTTTTGAAGTATTTTATTAGGATTTTAATATTTATGAATTGTAATTAATAAATTAGAACACACTATTTGCATATTTTAGCTTTTTTCAAAAACTAAAATAAATTATTTAAAAAAAACACATTAAAATTATCTTATCACATCTTATTCCTTTAAAACATTTTGCAGAATAATGGATTGATTAAAAGATGATTTCTACGATCGTATTTGTTTGAAAATATTTTTAGGTGCAGCGTTTTAACAAATTTAATTCATATTAATGATATAATTTCGAATAAAAATTTACATGCCATCTGAATGTTGATATATGATATTAATTAATGAGATTAACAAAACTGACTAGAATAAACTGATTGGTTACAAAATAACGGCTAAATATTTAGTGTAATTTTTGTGGTTATTTGTTATGAACATAATGAATAAAACAAACTTAACACAATAAAGAACTGAGATTCCATCATTGAAATTATTTTAACAGAAAAATTGAGTTAATTATAATAGGGTTCCTACATTCATTTGGTATTGTCAACTAGATTTTTAGTTATTCCAACAAAATTTAAGTGAAATCAACAATTTATACTGTGTATTTATTTTTACAATAACTTAATTTATTTTTATGTACAAAAATCTAGCCCTACTGTTAAAATGAAACGACATTCTTTAACTAAATTTTTTTTTCGCTAATTTAATGTCTTCAACGTAACTTTTGACAATATTTCGTAAATACTGCGTACTTTAAACATATGTTAAATTAAAGCTTATATTACGTACTATAAATTAAAAACAAAAATTTGTCCTGACGATTTATCTTCTACGTACAAATGTTTATCGTAGTTAAAAATATGATATTTTTTATGTTAAAATTTTCCATTTTATATTTTCAACTTTAAATTGCTATAGCTTCTTGAAAAATGTATAAATCAACCAAAATTTATGTTTCTAATTATTTTATTTATACCTCTTTCATCCGACATACTTTTTTTTAATCCACCAATTTATTAAAATTAAACACTATCTACAGATTTGCATCGAAACGTTTCTTGTGATAGTGATTTTAATCAGTGTCGAATATCATCTATATTTGTCACAACTATACACGATCCTGTTATTGTTTTTTTATTGCATTATAATTTTAAGTTTATTAACTACATTTAGCTAAAACATTAAGGGTCATTTAAAAACTTTCNGCACGATCCTACTGTGTTATTGTTTTTTTATTGCATTATAATTTTAAGTTTATTAACTACATTTAGCTAAAACATTAAGGGTCATTTAAAAACTTTCTATAACTTATTTATTGTTATTTTTACAAACATTATTTTACGTTAAATATCAATTCTTACGATTCGACAATGACAAAAATCATGAATTTTGCACCCTAAACTAAGAAAATATTACTGTAGTTCGTGACTTTAACTTTAACTCAAAAAAACTTATATAAAAAATAAATTTTGTAATACAGTAATGTAATTTATTTCTTTTGGTTGGCTTTCTTGTAAAATTAAAAAAAAAATTTATAATTAATATCAGAAAAGTATTTAAATGTAAGGAATGAAAGCAGTGACGGATCTAGAAGAAGTATGGGAATTGTAACTTCCCAAAGTAGATACAATATCATAATTTATTTTATTTTTTGTGACTGTATCGCCGTACCATATTAATTATCTACATTTTTTTAGGTATTTTGTTTCGAATTTTAAAGTAAAAAAAAATATCACCTTTCGAGGTCAATTTTGGAGCGAAAAAAGCCATTTGTGTTGAGATTATAAAATCTTAAATACGATTTTGGTTAATGGAATTACATATAACATGATTAGTGTATGTTTTGTAGTCTATTGCTACTCAAGAAGATACTTTTTAAGTAATTGTTATACATTACTTTTTCCACTCTTCAATTCTATTTGCTCGTCTGTTATTCCAGAGATGGAAGACACTAGACATAACGTTTTAAACAAAATTAATTATCAAAATTTCTAAAAATTAAAAATATGTTGTATGAATAACTATAAAATATTGTCAAACATAAAATTAATAATGTATAGTAAAACAATATTTGTTAAAAATTTATAATTTTTAAATGATAAATTTAAAAAATTAAAGTAGGATAAAAGTAGCCTTTCTATTCTTCAAACTACCTCATATAATAAACCATGATAAACGTAAAAAGTTATAAGCAGAACTGTGAATTATATACATTTAGAAAATTTGTTTCAGACTCTCTGAAGAGTCCCAAGTTTATATAGTAACTTTTAAAACAAGGTTATAAATTAAATTACCCAACAATTTTTAATAATTATTTTAAAAATATAATGGGATTAATATTTATTTTTACAGAATGTTATTCTTGAAATATTATAACCCATTTTTACATTTAAATGATACAAATTTCAAATAACATATTTGTTTTACAAACTAGCATGGAGTATAATTTTGCATAACAAGTTTAACAGCTAATATCCTCCACTAACCGGAATAGATGTTCCAGTCATATATGAACTTTTATCAGATGCTAAAAAAATTATGACTTCGGCAATTTCTGAAAAAATATTGACGTTTCAGTTGATTAAATAAAATACAACAATTAGTATTTAATTTATAACAAATAGTATAAAATTAAAAATGAGAAATTTATTTTATTTTTTTGTGAAGATAATTTTCAAGTAGTAGTTAAGGGTTTATACTGCAAAGAGGCCAATAAAAAGACATAGTTCTTTATCATGTTTTAGGTATAAATTGTATAGGCTTAATCCCTCAAATTTAAATATTGATCTCTACAAAATTTTGTTGAAACTGTATCTATGCCTTTTTATCTGCACTTAGTTATAACCACCATTAATATTATTCAATAAAGCTATATATACAAGATGATTCTTTTATCACAATCAATTTATTTGATCAAAAAATAAAACTGACATTTATTTTTCTTTTAATTACATACTTTTCTTATTTTATCAATTATGAAGTAATTTTTATATTCATTTATTATAACTTATAAGGGACTTAACTTAATTCTTTCAAATGGCATCATACATAATTAAGTAATTAAGTTAATAGATAATGAACTATGAATGTGTTAAAACTTTCGTGGATTGTAGTATTGCTTGAAATGTTTATGTATGTATCTACGTTTTCAGTTATGAGTTGACATTTCAGACTTGTTGCAACCTAAACCTGTACCACCTACAACCACTAGCCTGTATCTATCGCACTAAAAATGGACTCTGCAACAAGTCTGAAATGTCAACTCATAACTGAAAACGTAGATACATACATAAACATTTCAAGCAATAATGAACTAATTAAAAAAATAACTGGTTTATAACAGCCTTTGAACCAATATTTCACATGTTATTACAAGTTTTAGATAATGACTGGAGGTAAGGCATGAATGCTGCTATTTTTATCACTAGACATTTCTTGACCTCACTCTTCTTTGTTTATTGTCAATTATGACAATTATCTTAATTATCCTTAAAATATAGTAATGAGTAAGACACAATATAGTGATTTAATACTTATGAATACACAAACTGAAAATACAGAAAACATATCTGTTGGTTAAGTCATAATTGACAATAAACACTGTATTTTTGCAAATAACAATGTAAAACACCAAATTACTACCTGTATTTGTAATTCCTCAAATATTATACATAATTTTGAAAAATTATAAATGTCATTAACTAGCAAATTAAATTTTTTTGGACATTTTTAAAAAATAAGAAAAATAATACGAATAACATTCCTAATAATGTTACTAATGGTAATGTTTCTAGTAATATGTCTGATGTTGTAAATATATTTAAATCACATTTTGAGTCAGTTTACATTCCTTCTGGTGTTAATACAAATCTTGTTCCTTATTATAGTTCTAATATTAGTTTTAATTACTGTGATTTTACGGTTATTGAAATATTTGAGTCTTTACGTGCTTTATCAAATGATACTAATAGTGGTCCTTATCTAATCCCAGAAATAGTTTACCATAACTGTTATTTCTTACTTACTCGTCCAATTCAATTTATATTTAACTTATCACTTTCTACTGGTGCTTATCCAGATTTATGCTAGCTATATATATCCCATTTATAATTTCAAGTAATCATTATGATGTAAAAATTATCGTCCTATTTATCATCTAAGTGTACTTCCAAAATTATATGAAAAAATTTTAGAACCTAAATTATCTGTTTTGTTTAAAAATATATTTACAGATAGACAACAAGGCTATCGTAATGCTAAATCTACTATGATCAATTTATTAATGTATTATACAGATCTTGTCAAATTAGTTAGTAATGGTGCTCAGGTTGATGCAATATATACAGATCTTAAAAAGGCTTTTGATACTGTCTATGTGTGTATTCTTATAAAAAAATTAGAAAAATTTGGTTTAGGTGGATCAATGTCAAATTGGATCAAATCTTATTTATCAGATAGAATACAGTTAGTTAAACTAGGCGATTTTATATCTTCGCCTTTTAACGTGTCTTCTGGTGTACCACAGGGTGGTCATTTATCCCTGTTGTTGTTTTTGTTGTTCATGTATGATATTAAAGATGATTTCCATAATTGTAAATTTTTACTGTTTGCGGATATTCTAAAACTTTATATGCCTATTCATTCACAGTTAGATTTTATTAATCTGCAAGCTGACTTAGATAGATTTTTTGTATGGTGTTCGTTGAATGGTTTACACATTAATGCTCAGAAGTGCTCACAGATTTCTTTCACGTGATGTAAATCAAAGCTATACTTTCAGTACAGAATAGACAGTACTAAGCTGAATGTTGTGTCACAAATAAAAGACTTAGGAATTATTTTATCTCATGATTTATCTTTTAATAAGCATATTAGTATAATGTGTAATAAAGCTTCTTGTATGATTGGTTTTATTCGACGTAATTGTTCTGATTTCAGTAATGTAAATTGTCTTAAAGTTCTATATTTTTCTTCAATGGTTCACTCTATTTTTTAGTATGGTTCTAGTATCTGAAATCCTCATCAAAGTAGTTTAATTTTAAAAATAGAACATATTCAAAACCAATATTTGCGTTTCTTGGCATTTAAAANAATGGTTCACTCTATTTTTTAGTATGGTTCTATTATCTGAAATCCTCATCAAAGTAGTTTAATTTTAAAAATAGAACATATTCAAAACCAATATTTGCGTTTCTTGGCATTTAAAACTAATAAATTAAATTTACCCCTTGATAAGTTAGCTCGTGAGTATTATATAGATTCTCTTCAGATGCGTAGAAATTATAATGATTTACTTTGGTTATATAAATTAATCAATCATGAAATTAATTGTCCTGAATTACTGGAGAAAGTGCCTTTTAATGTTCCTCAGGTCAATACACGGGTACCTCATACATTTTATACCTCATTAAGCCCCACAAACTATAGTTTCTTTGAACCGATTAACAGAATGTTAAATTCAGGTAATTTATTGTTTAATTTTGATTTTCTTCATGATATTCCAACCAGGTTACAAACTCTTATAAATGCTAAATTAAAAAATTGATTAATTACTTATGTTACTCAATAATATTTGTATTTTTAGTTAATGTATTATTAATTTGAGAATTTAAGATTAAATTTGTTAATTTAGTGTATCTTTTTTTTTTTAATTGTACGTTTAGTTATTAGTACTGTATTTTGCTCTTTTGGACATTTATCTTTAATAAATAAATAAAAATAAAAAATATATCAACTCAAAAATTTTTTAATTTTATATCCAATAAACAGATGAAGTTACATTAAAAATTAAAATGCTATTTACTATTTAATAAAAACATCAACACATTTTATTAATTTCAAAATATGGTGCCGTTTGAAAAAACAAAGTTGACATCCTATCAAAGCATAAGGAATAAACTTATATGTAATACTAAAAAGTATTACTTAACTAATCATTCTATAAAATATGTAACTAAAAGTAGCTGAAAAAAAAAATTTCAAAATTATTTTTATTCTGTGAGAAATTGGATGGGTTATGATAAAAAAATCATATATATATACATATATCTACTTAAAAATTAAGGGAATAATTAAACTCTCTATATATAGGCCTATTCCTAGCACTAATCTTAATAATAAATTTAAATATACAATGTTTAAAAAATATATCAACCTTCAGAAACAGCAAATCTGCCTAATGGAACAGCAGATTTAAAGTAGTTCTTTACTTTTTCTGGTACTATATCAGTCATTGGAGTAATTGTAAAACCTGGTAAAACCGTATTACATCTTATATTATACCTAAAAAATATAACATAAATCAACATTTTTTTAAATTTTAAAGGAATTTTTTTTTTATCGACATACTTTGCCATTTCTAAAGCAACAGTTTTACTAAAAACTTCAACAGCTGCCTTACTAGCAGAATAATTACACTGGCCAATATTACCTTTTTGAGAAACTATACTACCAATATTAACAATAGAACCAGATAAATTTTTCTCTACTAATTGCTTGCATACGGCTTGAGTAACTACAAATGTACCCTAGTTAAGAAAAATATCTAAAATCTAATCAAATAGTACTGATACATAGTTTATCAATAGTTCCTTTGAATACCTTCATATTAACTTCAAAAACTCTTTCAAAATCTTGAACAGACATTTTTAATAAAAAATTGTCTCTTGTTATTCCTGCAGCATTGACTAAAATTGTAGGTGGAGCTAAATAATGAGAACATATTTGTTGAATAACATTATTAACAGAATCAGTATCGCATATATCAAGTTGATAACTTCTATGTTCCCCACCTAAAAATGTTAATGTTAACTATCATAAATTTTAACTCATTAAAAATTACCTTTAAGATCTTCAATAGTTGATTGTACTTGATTGATATTTACATCAGCAGCTACAACTTTAGCTCCTTCTAAAGCCATTTGTTTACATATAGCTTTTCCAATCCCGCCACCAGCTCCTATTATAAAAATTAATATGAACAGATAAAATAACAAAGAGTTGCTAATTATTTATAACAATTTATGCATACCTGTAATAAATGCTAATTTTCCCAACAGCATTTTTATTATAAGAGATTTTAGATCGAGTGAAATCAAATCTTATGGAATATTTAGTATTTAAAATTCTTCTTTGATAGTTTTAGTCTTATCTCGTAAAACTAAATTTTTTATAGCTACATGATTTTGCATAAAGAATATAAGGAAATATTTAGTTCATATACGGAATGATTAATGTAAATATGCATAATAGTTTTCAATGAGTTTTTATCAAAAATGAAAAATTGCTTTCTATTCCATTCAAATGTATTAAGAGTGGTAGATCTAGTTTAACAAAACTATCTATCGAGTGATAAATTCAATAGAAATAAAACATAGTAATAATAATTGAAAAAAATTAATTATTTGAATTAATCAACTTAAATAAGCAGTTTGTATATATCACTTGGTATAATAAAGAAAAAATTATTTTCTTATCAAATTAATTACGTTTAATTTTATTAGTTGCCACTAATATCAATCTTTTATTAAAAAAAAAAAATTAGTATTCTAAAAGTAGAATTTTTTCTAGACTTGCATAATCGTTATGGTGATAATATAAAAAGAACCAATTATGTTATTTTTACATTATCATTCTAACTCTTGTTATAAGGTCTGTCCGCGTCTCAAATCATTCAATTTAAATAAGTGTTAATTAAAAAATATATTTTTAAAAGTAGTTATCACCCTTTCATATTTTTTCATAAAACAAACTTGAAATATTAAGTTAATATTCTTAAGCAGGTTGATAATAAAGCTTAAACAAAGCTTATCCATAAGAGTTTATTATAAATATGGAACCAAGTGTGATATTTGTATTAATAATTGTTCTTACACAATTATATGTTAATGATTAAAGTATTAAAAATATTTTAGAGTAGATAAATATTATTCTGTAGTAATAGTAAGACTTTCTTATTTGCCTTTTTAAGCCAATTAAGCGACCTCCCTCAAAAGGGGAAGTTTTCTTAAACATTGATACTTCAGGAAGGGTGGTTAGTCTGTCACTGGAAAATGGTATGGTGACTCCAATCACCAAACTGATCTCTCGCTCGATCAACAAATCCACTGCCTATAACCGAGTTTTGTACCTCAGGCACTGTGTATCAAGCACTGCCACATTACCGTCTCCTCCACGCCATCCCACAATAACAGTAAGACTACATAAAACTATAATAATTCATATTCATTATTATACTGTTATAGTTTTTAGTATATACAGGGTGATTTTTTTATCATAACCCACTCAATTACTTACAGAATAATAATAATTTAAACATTTTTTTTTTTCATTATTTTTAGTTACACATTATTCTTGAATTTTTAACTATGTAATACTTTTTAAGTTCATCCCTTATGCCTTGGAAGGGGGTCAACTTTGTTTTTTTAAATGGTAACACATATTTTTAATTTAATAAAATGTTTGAGTTTTTAATTTAATAGTAAATGGCATTTGAATTTTTAATATAACTTAATTCGTTTATTAGATATAATCATTTAAAGTTTCAAATTTTTGAATTAATATACAGGTATAATACACAAGGGATTACAAATACAGGTAGCTAATTGGTTTTTTATAACATCGATATTAGCAGGTACACAGCATTGTTATTATCAATTGTAGTAAGGCACATTGTTATGAGTTTATAAATACACTAACTGACAATACAGAAAGTATATCTATTGATAATCATAATTGATAATAAACAATCCGTGACTGAGACAGCAATGTCATAAAAATCCAATTAGCTACCTGTATTTACAATCCCATGTGTATTATACATGTATATTAACTCAAAATTTTGAAACTTTAAATGTTTATATCTAATAAGCTAATAAAGTTATATTAAAAATTCAAATGCCATTTACTATTAAATTAAAAACTCAAACATTTTATTAAATTAAAAATATGTATTACCATTTAAAAAAACAAAGTTTACTCCCCTCCAAGGCATAAGGGATGAACTTAAAAAGAATTACATAGTTAATAATTCAAGAATAATGTGTAACTAAAGATAATAAAAAAAAAAAATGTTTAAATTATTATTATTCTGTAAGTAATTGAGTGGGTTATGATAAAAAAATCACCCTGTATACCCATTATACTAGTAAACTGTCAATTATTTTTGAAAAATTAAAAAATAAATGAATTTTTATTTAAATTTTTGTACATAATGTATAATTTTAGATTTAATGTACTTGTATAATTTTTATTTATAAGCCATACAATTTAACAAAATAAAAATAGATACACTTAATTCATAAAAACTTAGACTGTCATATATAATGAGAAAATTTACATTTAGAAAATATTATATTATTCACTTGATCAATGTATAAATCAAATACTACAGCCTAGATTTTTAATATAAATTTTATTATAAATCATATTTATCATATTTAATTATCTTAACACTTTATAAAAATAAAAAATACTGTTCAAAAAAAAAAAAGTGTTTTAATAAATTAATTTACAAAATAATATCATACTGAGGTAAGAACTTTAAAGTGGTTAGCAGATTTTGATGTATTTGAGTGGACAGTTGAAGTTATCATATCTGAACGATCCAATAGTGCATCCAATTCTTCATCAGTAAAAACTAAAGTTTTTAGTAAATAATGTTAAATAATTATAAATCAAAAATTATATTAAAAAAACTTATACTTACTAAAACCGTTAGATTGAATTTTTTTATTATAATCAGATGATTCCAATAAACTCATTAATTCTTCAATTGTAGTTAATGATATTTTCGAACTTCTATTAAATGTACCTAATAAATAAAATAACAAATAGCATCAACATTTAAAAATATTACATACATAAATAAGTAACTATGAAAATTAAAAAATATTTATCAGAGATTGGAATTCAGAGATTTTTTTAAAAATGACATTTTATTAAAATCAAAAATCAACTACTAAAACATATATTTAAGCCACAAAGATATGACAAATTCGATAAATTTTTTTAAAAAATAATACTGGCATTTTTAGGGTATACTAAAAATATATTTGTTATTATTATTTTTTGAATACTTCTAAAAAATTAATCAATTCTTTATTTTAACTTCATTACCATTTCCAATAACCATTTTTTCGAGTTTTCTTTTTGCTACAGCACGATCTAAAATCCTTTCATCTACAGTATCTTTTGAACATAACCTATAAACAACAACAGGCTTCTCTTGGCCCATCCTATGACATCTATCTTGTGCTTGTAAGTCAGCTTGAGGATTCTTAAAAGCATAAGTAATAATTACAAAATCAAAATTAAAAGCCAGACTATTCATGTTATAATATTTAATGTTAATAATATTTTACCCAATCACTATCAAATATTATAACAGTATCAGCAGCAGTAAGATTTAAACCAAGTCCTCCAGCACGTGTTGATATCATCATCACAAAACAAGATGGATCAGTATTAAATATTCTCATGTTTTCAACACGCTCTTGAATAGACATTGTACCATCTAATCGAGTAAATTTGTAAGAACGGTACATCAAGAATTCTTCTATAATATCTAATATCATTACCATTGTTGAAAACAGTAACACCTTCAAATAACACAATATAATTTTATAACTTTGCAAAAACGGAACATTCTTTTTTTTATATAGATTATATACTATAAACATACCTTATGTCCAAGAAATTTTAATTTAGATAACATAGCATCTAGAACTTGAAACTTTCCACTAACTTTCACAATATCCTCATCTACTCTTATTTGTTTAGTACCTTTAATTAAAGGCATATGAACAAGATAAGGGTGATTCGCAATTTTTTTTAGCTGTACAAAAGGATTTGTCATGACAACAGAAATTGCAGTATCTGGACTTTCCACACTAGAATAAATTTAAAAAATAGTTCAGATAAAAAAAAAACAATTAATACTTGTTTTAATATAACATTAAATTTGAAGAAAAATAAAACTTTAAAATACATGAACAATATCAATAAATTTTTCAGTTTTAAATTTAATAGGGTGACTTATAAGTATTGCCTAATTTTAAATAATTTTTTACTATTTAAATAATAAAGCTCATGCTACTGTGCAAATGCATGGACTCTATTTATATATATTATGCTTGAAATGTTGACCTACAAAGATTGTATTTTTAATTTCATACTGTAAACATATATTTTTCATTAAATAGTTTTTTTATATTCTAATATTCTAAAAAAATAAAAAAGCTTTCATTTATTATACAAATTAAATGATTAAACATATTAATATGAAAAAAAAATAAAGTTTTTATGTTCACCATAACTTAAATGTTTTTATTCTTAAAACTAACTAAATCATTACAACAAATAATACATTAAAAGTTTACAATATTTTAAAGATTTTTAATTTGAAATAAATTGAAATTCTAAGTCTTTCTGGATCTTATAATAACTCAATAAATTTTATGAAATAATTTAAAAAATAAAAATAAAATTAATGCTTATCTAAAATATTTTCGAATAAATTTTTTTTTAATCTATACCATGTTTAAAAAATTTTCTTTACATATTTTTTAGTTAATTATTATATTTTAAAAAGCTTAAATCAATAGCTTATTTTTTCTGTGCATCTTTTGATCACACAAATTAAAATAAAACAAATTCTCTTAAGTAGTGTATCAATAGTCAATTGTTTTGACTATTAAAAAGGGTACCAAGCAAATGAGAATAGCTGATAATTTTTTTTTATTATTCTATATAATATAAAAGGCGCTTTTATATGAGTGAAAAAAATTTCATAGATTTTTTTTAAAAAAGGTAAAAACTCGCATTAATGTAAAATTTGTTTTTTTAGTTTATTTTGGAGGAGCTAAATGTAAAAAATATAAAATATTTCAACAACTTACATTTCTTCATCAGATTCATATTTTACAGCTGAAATATCAGTGTATTCAACAATACGTTCAACACATTTTCTTTTAGGCCTTGGACCATCTATAATTACAGACTCCTTTAATTAAAAATTAAAAATATATTATCAATTTATGTCAGTAATGTTACACAATATTAACAATCAGACATGGAATCTAATTGTGTATAAAAAAAAAGTGAAGTTAGCAGTTTTTCTTTCTGTTCTTATCAATATTTATTTAGTGTTCAAAGTTATTATCAAAAAACACTAGTTTAATTTTTAATTATAATTTTGTGGCCGTGCCTGAAGTATCTCAAAGATTTTTTTTAACATATTTGATTAAACACTAACAAAACATAGAATGGTTTATGAAAATCATCAAATGTCATAGATGGCCAAAATTACAGTTACTAAACGCTGTCATAATAAGTGTAAATTTTTTTTTTGCAAAATAAAAGGCTATTAAAGACACAGCTCAATTTTTATAAAATTTGTAGTTAAACATCTCATATTGTGTATAAAAACACTCCTTTAAATTAATACCAGAAAATTCTATCCATGTGCATTAGTTATTAAGATATACAATGATTAATACTATAAACATAGTTGTATGATATAGGATTTTAAAATTTAATTTATGGTATCCTTAATATTTTAAGATATTAAGCTACTTTCTTTTTGATACATATTAACTTCAACACGAAGCTGAGAAGGTATTGGTATTACTATGTGTTTTTTTTTTTTGTCTGTTACCACTTTTTCTCAGCTCTCACCGAACAAATATCTTTCAACGATACGTCAAAAGATCACAAATTGTATCTAGTCAAAAACACTACCCTTAATAATTGAAAAAATTTCCCTCGTTACCCGTAAATGGAGGAAACCTCCAAAAAAATTACAAATTTAAAAATCGCTAATTTTCGAAATTTTTTCAATTTTTTTTTCTAAAAATGTTATTTCTTTTTCAAAAATGAACAAATCAGTATAGTTTTTTTTTTATAGATGCTTGATGTCTTTACCTTTAATTTGGTATATTTTTTTTATAAATCTGACCCTTTACCAGCCCACAGAGGGGGATTTAAAATGACAACATTTTTACAAAAAATTAACTTTTTCAACTTAACTTTTAAAANGAAAAATTAACTTTTTCAACTTAACTTTTAAGTGTTTTGGAAATACTGACACTTTTATATATATCTTAAATTAAAGATAATGTAATATATTTTATTAAGGAAAAAAAAAATTTCGGACTTTATTTTGGCTACCAAATGCTATTTTTGTGTGAAAATTCTCGATTTTATTTTTTACATTTTTAACTTTATTATGCTATAACTTATTGAAAAGTGTATAGATCAACACAATTTTTTTATGAGAAATAATATTTTTTAATAATCCCTTTTTCATTCGACATACTTTATNTAAATATTTGTAGTTTTAAATTTTATAAGCTACACGTGATCTACTCTTATAATATAATTAATAAAATATTCAAAATTTATTTAATTTTTTTACTTTTTGCTGTTTTAGTAGTACTTCCATGTGTTTATTTAATGTTGCTTTATATAATTCCTGCTGTCTTTCAGTAACTGGAGCATAAATAACAACTTCTTTTTTAGGAGGAAGTTTTAAATCAGTTTCTTTTTTTTCACGTCTTAAAATGAAAGGCTTAATAACCTACAAAATATTTTGTCTTAAATTAATATCATACAAACCCAATATTAAAAAATAAAACAAACCTTTTGAATAATATCCAAAATTTCATTTTTTTTTGCCATACTTGCAATTTTAATATTATCGTCAAAGAAATCATCAACTACAAACCATGAATTAAAATCTTCTAACTTATCAAATAATTTGGGCATTAACAAATTGAGTAAAGACCAAAGTTCTGTCATATCATTTTGAATTGGTGTTCCAGTGAGAATAAGTTTATTTGCACACTTAAATTCTCTCATAGCTCTAAAAAATAATTATCAGTTAAAAATATATATATATTTCAATAATAATTTATAAAATTTACTTAGATGTTAGTGCGTTGAAATTTTTAAGTTTGTGTCCTTCATCTACAGTTATGTATTTCCAATCAATTGTTGACAAAAATTTTATATCTACACGCATTACCTCATATGTAGTTATAATTATAGGATAACAATTCATATCATTTACTCTGTGAGTTTTTTTAAACTTAGATCGAGCAGCAATTCTTTCAGTTTCTGAACCATGGTAAAGTAAAGAAGGTAGCTATGTAAATAAAATAAAATATAATATATAGAATTTACAGTATGTAAAGCAATAGATTTCAATTATACTTATTGTTTGTAATAATTGACCTGTTTTATTACTTTTAAACAATCTGTATAATAATTAACTTGAAAATTTATAGATTCACCTCAGGGGAAAATTTAGTGAATTCCGACAACCAATTAGGTATAGTAGAAAGAGGAGCAATAACAAGAAAAGGACCTTTAATATTCATTTCAATAAGAAAACAATAGAATGCTATTGTTTGAATAGTTTTACCAAGACCCATATCATCAGCTAAAATACCATTCAATCCATTTTCGAACAAAGTCTGAAATTTAAATAATATTTAATACAATAATACACCAATAAAACCTTAATTATCAAAATATAGCTAAAATTTTGTAGAGTATCTAAGACAGTTCAGCTCTAGACATTTTTATGACAAATTTTAATTAATGTTTATCTATATTGCATTTAATGATGTGAAATCATACATTTCCGATTCAAATTCAAATAATTTTCAAAAATATTATTTATAGGGTTTTTTTTTATTATATTATACATCATTGTAAAATGGACCATCAAGTTTAATAATGGTCATTTCTCAATTTATTGATTTAGCTACAAAAAATGTCATCAATAAAATTTGAGATATAGTCTACTTTAAATAAAGTTAATCAATTATTCCACTTTATAATTTTTAAGTTTCTTAAAATTTCTTATTTAGAAGTAACCAAATTCATACTTGATGGACAAATTGAGCTTATTTTACAGTAATTATGTATTTTATTTTTATTTTTAAATTTTCTATTGTATCAACACTAAGCCAATTAGTTGTTAAATAGTATAGTTAACTAAATAAGTACTTATCCTAAAGTTGTTATAATTTAATCAAAAATAATGGCACGAAAAGAGCTAAAAAATTAAAAATTAATTCATTTTTTCTTATTAGACAAATAATTAAAAAATATCCCTAATGTATTCTAAAACTTATTAAAAGAAAAAATTGTGAACATTTTAAACTGATATAAAAAAATTAGCACATGTGTGCATTGCCTCCAAAGTTAAGTAAAATAGATATATAAAAAAAAATAAACGTTTCTTCACTTAAATTTTTTTTTATATCAAACAAAAATAAATAAAAATAATGTGGGGTTGCCATATGAAAATCTGAAGTTGATACAAGTTCTAAGTATAAGGGATAATGATAGAAATTTAATTTTTCTTGTGAAATAGCTCATCAAAGATACATAATGATTAAAAAAAAAAAAATTCTTTATGACATTGATATTTTTAAAGATATTACATGAGACATAGTTAGCTGATCATCCTGTATATATAAATAGAGTTCATCAGAGTTAATATCTTCAAAAACATATAATTCAGCAAACATTTTGCTTTTTAAAAAAATAATATTTGCAGTTTTGGACTATATTATTATATTTTTTATTATTTGTCCTTTATGAGAAAAAAATATTTTTTTAATTTTTATATTATTAAAAATAGCTATTCTTAAGCATATTTCTTGCAAAAAATTAAAAGTTAATAACAATATTAAAATAAATACTTATTGAGTTACAAGCATTTTAATAAATGTAGTGAGTAAATTGTGCAGGCGAGGCATATGTTGTAAATATACAACAATGTAAGTTATACCTAATACTGCACTACCTATCTTTTCAATGTATTAGAATAATTGTAACTCTAAGTACTTATTCTATAGTTTTTATCGACTCATCAAAATATTTTTGTATAAGGCTATCGTTAAAAATATATTTTATAAAAGAGGTAATAGAGACCAGAATTAAAAAAAAAAGAGACCATTTTTAAAATAAATTTATTATTTATATCACAAGTACATTTTATAAGTGCCGTCAGAGGAGAGGGAGAGAAAATGCTAATTTTTGTCAGAAACTACATATATATTTTTTTTAATTAAATAAAGGCTGCAACACTAAAATCCATTGGCTGTATATACTTTTATTTCAAGATATAATATTATAATTTTATTAAATTAAATATAGGAATTTTTAATTTTTAAATTAATTAAAAAACAATCATTTACCCTAATCCACAGTAATCCTTCCACTTGATGAGTCTTTAAAGAACCATTAAATAGTTTTGGTTGTTTAAATAAACTTAAGTAGTAGTCATCTTCAATTATGTCCTAAAAAAATTTATCATAAGAGATTAATATTGTAAAATTTTGTAGTTTTGCTCATAAAATAATAATTAACTTACATTAGTTAATTGATTATTCAGTGGTAGATTTTCATTCATCTTCTGAGCATTTTTCAGTTCTCTTCTAAAATAATAAAAAAAAAATACTAAAATTTAATACAAAGTGGAATAGATCAGATCAACTGACAACTCTTATAACTTTTGATACAGATAATATTAAGTAATATTATTTTTCTAACATTTAAGCATTCTTAGATAATGTTAAATTCATATTTTTTATTATTTATTTAATAATATAAAAAAAATATTATATTTTTTTCAAAATTTTAAGTAATTTTTAATACTTTTCTTGCAATAATTTTTAATGAGACAATAACAATTCTAAAATAAATCTTTCTTAGAATTATTATTTACTTAAAAATTTTTATAAGAAAAGTACTAAAAAACCATTTTAAAATTTTGTAAATTAAAAAAATAATTTTATATTTATTTTTAAATGAATAATAAAAAATTACTCTGATTATAGTCTAAAAACACAAAAATTGTTTTAAAAAAAATTACAAAAATGTAAATGATATTTATAAAAATGAAACATACAAACTTACTTTATAATTTGAAGTTTACATTTTTTTAATCTTGATTCAAATAAATTTGTTAATTTGGTACTATTTTCTAATAATACTAGTAAGTTTTTAAATCTTTTTTCCTTTTCTTCTATATTAAGGTCATCAACCTAAAATTTCAATATAATTATATTGTAACATATAACAAATAAATTTTATAATTAATTATTCAAAAATCTACCTATCAAATCAGAAAATCCAAAACTAGTAAGGTTATAAAAAGCAAAAGTAAAATATCTAATATGCTTTACTCAGGAGAAAACAACAAAATTAATATCAAATCAAATCAGAAGAAAAAAAATCTCCTTTAATAGACATTGTTTATCAATCAATTTGGAATGACATCACAGTAATCCTCAATATTATTCATGTTACATTTAATATTGATGTAATGTAAACTCAATTAAAAATTCGAGCCGTAATGAGGCTCAATTGTTCCAAGAACCAAAAAGTTTCTTTTTAGGAAGTCACAATAAACTATTCCATTTCCCAGTAAAGAGCCATTTACAGCTCTAAAATTTATATATTTTTAACTGTTATTTAAAAATAAATGAAATACAAATAATAATAACAATATAGTTATAATTATAATATTTAATGTTATAATTTTCCCTGTAGATAGGGAATAAGAGTACTTCCATGGCCCCTCTGCCAGTCGTAAGAGGCGACTAATGAGGTTGTGTCAGGTCGACAGCCAGCATAAAAATTATTGTCAAAAAAGTATGAGGAATTCTGAACAAAGAGCTGACCCCAAGTAGTTGGGTTTACAGAGAGGAAGAAGAAAAAAAAATTTAATGATATAATTAAAAAATAATAGACTAAGAGTCCTATTTCTCAAAAAAAAAAATATATATATACATATTAAAATTAAAATTTTACAACAGGTACTAGATGATATTTTGTAAATTTAACATTATTTTTAGTCAAATAATAATAGGATAACTGGGGGAAGACAATTACTCGAATTTCTTCACAACTGGTAAAAACACATTTCATAGTAAGATTTTTTTTTAAGTATTAATTAAAGTATGATGCTTAGAGGTAAAGCTATAATTTATTCTAATCAAAAATATAGTTTCACTTTTTTGTTAACAGTCATTTTAAAATTATGAGATTTTCAATATAATTTTTCTCATACACGTTCAAGAGAACTTCAGCAACAAAATAGTTTGTTCCTTGTATAACTAGTTATGATAACAAAAGTTACTTCTATTTAATAGAGGTGTCAAGCCTGTAAGATATAATACTGTAGTCTGTGTTGAGATTAAAGAATAACAAAATGAAAGAAACATATATACTTTAGTATGGTCAGTGACAGAAGAATGAAAAAAGCCAACACTTATCTAACGACAATATAAATTGCAGTCTTTTCGGAAGGAATCAATATGGATAAATAATTTGATTTTAATTGTATTTATTCTACTTGGTTGCCTTTTCTAGCAGTCAGAAGTAAATATAATGAATTTTAACATTGCTGTCAAAAATTCATTTGCACATTCTTTTGCGCAATAAAAAAAAAAAAATTAAATAGACATAATAAAAACTATAAGCGGTCCACCTTCAAATTTGTTATACGTTATACATATTAAATTAAATAAAAAATTAAATTTTTTAAAGAATCAGCTATCGTTTTAAAAATAATGTTAAATATTATACAAAATGGAACAAATTTATAATTGACAAATGTATTTAAAAATGAATTGCCCATGATAATCTATTATTATTTTTAATTAATTTTATAAAATAAATCTTAATTTAATAAAATTGTAACCTTAATATAATATAGTAAACTGCTTCATTACTAAGGAATTCCAAACAAATTTACACAAAAATTTGAGTAGCATCAAAAACCATCAAGATGGCTGGAATTACCCTAATCCTTCAAGTTAAATTAATTAAAATGATAAATCAATTATTTTAGTTAATGTGGTAATAAAAGTGCTAGTAGATGCATAATATTGATTTTTTATTTGAATTTTCTTCACATTTCAATTTGAGTTTTAACATGACCAGTATTACCCTAATGTTGGGGTATGCTAGTCAAATTTAATTAAAAAAAAAAAAGATTTAAAAAAATAAATATTGATTTGAACAAATTGGAACTTTTACATGATGCAGCCTACATCTTAATGCTTAATTTCCAAGTTCTTTCAAAATATTTAGATAAAAATGATTTAAGTTACATCAAATATCACTTATCTAACTAAAATTTCTCTAATCACACTAATGACAGATTAAACTACAGAGCTGTTCTATAATTAAACTAACATAAACTACACAATTATAATTTATATAAGAATTTATAATTTAAAAATGCAATTAATTTAATTAAATCCATTATTTTATTATTTACACAGAAATTTTATTTTCTTGTACTTATACTGTAGTATTTCTATATAATATTCCCTCAAATCATGGATATTAATCAAGTTTTCAAAAACATTTTTCTTATTATTATAAAATTATAATATATTTCACTTTGTTATATTTTTTTATAATTTAAAATAAAATCTTAAATAGACATAAAAATATCAATTTATTCACCATAAATACAATATTTATATTCTATTAACAACATATAAACAAAAACCCAGCACAGGGGGGTCGCGGCACAGTGGTTACGTGGCATAGTTGGATCAAGTATAATGATATCTGACAGTGATTAAAATCACTATCAAAAAAAAACGCTTCGATGCAAATCTTTAGATAGTGTTTAATTTTAAAAAATTGGTGGATTATTCCAAAAGCTTCATAAACTGCTAGTTCCTTATTAATATCCTGATTAAGACAAAGTATGTAGAATAAAAAAGAGATTATTAGAAAATAGTATTTCCCATAAAAAAATTATATTGATCAATACACTTTTCAATAAGTTATAGCATTATAA